TGTTTGTTACTTGCGTTTGTGCTGAAAAGCTTCCTGGTTGGCTGCTTGAGGGAATCCCGGCTTTTGATTGGTTGCTGATCGGGCGTCTGGATGACGTAGTTTCTGGGAATGCCCTCCGGAGATTGGTTGGTTTCTTGTTGACGCAGAGGCTTTAGCAGTTCTTCTGAGAGAGTCTAAGTTTGCAAGACTTTAGGCTTTCGAAGATCTCTGGCATTCACGAAGCTTCAACGGAGTGTTTGAGTTCTGGATGACCTATCGCTTGATGGTGCAGCTTGTGAGCGCAAGTTGGAGCGCTATTAACACAAAGGCGAAAAGGCACTGAATCTGTCTTGCATTGGGTTTTTGATCCGCTGCATAAGTCCGTCCCCCAGATCGTTGTTCCAATCAGACATTACTTGCAAGGCTTAGCCACGCCCCGCACTGTTCCCTGATCAGGCATGGGTCACATGTTTCCCGTGGGGAGTATTTCTGCAAGTTTTAATAACTTCTTATAAACAATATTATCACCAGAAAATGATGCCGGATACCAATTTTTCATTCACACCAATGTTCGGCGAATAAAGCAAGCTTTCATTCAAACTCAAATATCGGGTAGTTTGCATACACATTAATACTTTTATCTACTAAAAGGGGTTATAAAACATTGACTAAACATCATAGGTTACAATAAACACAACAAGCGTATATAAGGCAACAAACATATTATTTGTGGATATAGTTGCCCTTTTTATACTTAGACAATTTCAAAAGACAATCATTTGTTGTAAGTTTTATGTCCCTTTGTCTGACCGAAGGAGATAAAAGGGTGCGTCCCTTTTGACAGGAACTTATTTGAGACAATTGGCGCCTGGGCTGACCATGGTTCAGTTTTACGACTCTCACATGGTTGGGAGGAGACCTTAGTTTTTCCGGTGGAATGTGGAGATTCAATCGTTCATTTGTGTCTGTTCACAGAGGCCCTACACATCCCCCTTTAGCTCGGTGATGTTCCTGGTGCGAACATCTGTGGGGAGATAGGGGTGCATTGTTTAGGATTATCTAGAATTGGGTCGTTTTGGTTACTCTAACTGTCAGAGGTTCGACGAGGCGGTATAGGCTTAATCTCAATCAGGTTTGTTGAGTTCTCAGGTTCAGGTTCTTGGTCAGTTTTATCACGTCGGAACATGCGCGGGACGCCGGACGTGTACTTGTTGAAAGATTCTTGGACGGCGTTCACTCGCTTGTGGAGGAGGAAGGCAAGTGTCAGAGTCACAACAATGGCCTCACACTGGTCCCACCAACTGTCGTCTATGAATGCATCTAGGCCTTGTCATCCCTTCTAAGGGATGCAGGATTCGCTGTACAAACCAAACAAGGTCAGTTAAATCATAGAAACACAAGTTTACACTCATTGAGTAAAACTGCATTGATTACAAAACTTTTAAAATGTTTCAGGGAACACTACTGACAGCTCCATTTCCACTCCAACTTGGTTACAGGGTTTTAAAGGGGTCATATGATGCAATTTAAAATTTTCCTTTCTCTTTGTAAGTGTTACAAGCTGTTCGTGCATAGATAAGATCCCTAAAGTTGCAAAGACTAAAGTCTCAAACCCAAAGAGATATTTTTTTATAAAAGTTAAGACTTGTCCACGCCCTCCTAAAACACCTCATTTAAACACGCCCCCACATGTCTCTACGTCACTACGTGGGAAGATTTGCATAACACCGCCCAAATGTACATGCAAAGAAAGAAGGCATAACTTTTATTCTCGCTGTAGTATTGTTGTTGCTGCCGCCGCCATGTCGTGGAGACGCTGTGCGTTTCGTTGTGAAAGCGAAACTACTTTGTTTGGCCTTCCAAAAGAGGACGATATCCGCTTCGTCATGCCTAGAGCATGTTTCCTTGTGCTGGTCGCTGAGGAAATACATCAACTTTGCGCTGTGGATCGCCGGATCGGCTTTCACCGTGGACGAAGCGGAGTCCAGCCCGGGTCGTCACACGTGGTTGCCGCAAGCCAGCCGGCCGCTCCTCACCCAAGCCCGCCGTGTGTGACGCTGTGTGTTTCGTTGTGAAAGCGAAACTACTTTGTTTGGCCTTCCAAAAGAGGACACAACTAGAAATCAGTGGTTAAGTTGTATTTACAACACTGTTCCAGAACAGTTCAACCCAAATATTCAGATGTGTGCAGTGCATTTTATGGAGGACTGTTTCCTGAACCTGCAGAGTAGCCTACAATGCGTCTGTGCACAAAGGCTGTTTCTATAAAGTGGGGCAGTTCCAACTTTGCAAGGACAGTCTGGCACTTCTGACTCACAGCCTGTAAGTAAATTTTTTATATTTAAAGAATTTGCCACTGACGATTCAAACGGGAGTTTTGAGCAGTGTAGAGTAGCGCTTGTTGTTTGTCGTTTCTCCGATAGCTGGCCAATCAGCGTACACTTCACTTTTCAGAACGATGAGTTTTGTAAAAATCAACGCTTTTCAGAAAGGCGGGGCATAGAGGAGCAACAGTAATGTACATTATGTGGAAAATAATGTGTTTTTTTAACCTTAAACCGCATAATCACATTGCATTACACCAAATACACAACATAATGTTCTTTTTAGCAACGTCATATGACCCCTTTAAATGAACACTTGGCAAGCATCAAATGTGAATAAAAATTGGTGAGTAGACGAACCTTGGAAAGTTGGCCTATTTTATATTGTTTGATTGATTGATTGGGAATTAATATGTGGCATGGCTTTTATTAATTAAAAATTGATTCAGTGAATGTTGATTCTCTTTCAGGGAGTGGGAAGAAGGAAAAGTGTTAATATTTGACGACTCATTCGAGCATGAAGTCTGGCAGGAAGCAGAAAGCTACAGACTCATCTTCATTGTGGATGTCTGGCACCCAGAACTCACCCAATTACAGAGGCAGACTCTGTCACCAATATAGAAGATTTGTCCAAAAACTTGAGTTTTGAAAAGTAGGTCGACAGCCAATCGGAGTGACAGATTTACTGTTCTAAGCCAATCACAGATTTCATAAATCACAAATATCAATTGTGCTGTCCTGTGGTGCAGATTGCAAGGCAATGTGAATGTATAAGTCTTATGATTGATAGTTGTAAATAATATGTGATTTTTGAAGAACATAAAGGATGGATTTAGAAGTTCAAGGGTTTTAAAAGGACATTTCACCTAATATTCAAGATCTTAAATCAGGTAAAGCAAATATGATTTAAAATCATGTTTCAGAAGGATGTTTTTAGGGCTCAACAGTAAAATTAAAGAAATGTGATGTGGATGTGTTTTGTTCAGATACACTGCAAGCACACACATTTTATTAACACTACAAATTCGAATTGATTTTTGTATACATGTTTGTTTACATAATTTCATCATACCAAAATGTTTGTTCTTTGTATTGTTTGGAAAGTATTCAGTTTTGATACATCTGAAAAGAACAATAATAATAATTTATCTCAATTATAATTCCATTTGATTTGATTCATGTGGAGTATGTGAAGTTCCAAATTGAAAATTAAATGAAATAATAATTAAAAAGAAAATAAAAAACGCTAATAAAGACACGAGTACATTTAAAGAATTATCCTAATCAAAAAAAATATTTTTGTTCAAATGCACTTTGGGTTCCAGTGTATTCAGGTTTGTAGTTATAGATCAAAGCTTTCTCCTCTTCCTCTGTACTAGGAAAGCTATGAAAACTTTTCCTCGCTGTAAAAGCAACAAAATAAATAAGGAGAAAAGTTAGTACGTGAAGGTCTAACTTCTTTATTTGATAATTCACTGCAATAAAGGAATCAAATTTAATCAACAGCTAGTAAAAACACATTGTATGTTGCTCAGTAGTAGTATTATTAACCATACCTTCATTCACAAAAAAGTAAGCCATGTAGAATGCGGTCTTAATGGCTGAAGGCATGTGGGGAATATAGGGCCGGGTCCACTCAAAGGCATTTTTCTCTGGATGCCATTGAGTAGCATAGATAGGGAAATTATATGGTGTGGATATGCATAGAAACAGTAAATGACAATGTTGCTCAAGAGAGAGAGGTGAAAATCACAGTCTATATACTTCCTCTATCTACCCATCTGATTATCATCACTCACCTTCCATTGTGGACACAAACTCATTTTGTCCATCTGTGTTGGTACTTAAAACTCTGTAGAAACTTTTCAGGGTCTCACGCTTGGTAAAGTTCTAGATTTAAAAGTTTGGAAATGCCTCATTTTTTTTTCATCCAGCGAAAACAAAAATATACATTAAATATATTAAATGTGATGTTATTTTTTCTTTCTTTCTTTCTTTCTTTCTTTTACATTGCCGTTTTAAAATAACCCTCTAAAATTAACATTGCCATCCATCATATGAATATCCCTCATGTGGTGTTCGGGTCCTTTTTGCTCTGAAAAATTTTTATTTTTCCCGAAAATACTAGTTAATGTTATCGCATTGGACTGAAATTTTGTGATTTTGTTCACAAAGGGTATAACTACTTCTAAAAAAATTTTTGATCATTTTCATACTATTTTCTTCAGTTTTTATTTAATATTGTGAAAATTATTCATAAATAATGCTTTTTTCACTCAAAAAATTAGGTGCCTACTTTCAGATAAATGAGGCCTACGATTAATCAGAAGCAAATATAAATACAAAACCAGTCCTAAATGAAAGAAAAGAAGTTGACAAAAAGATTGAATCCGATCTTTGGTGATAATATAGCATAATGAGTGATTTATAAGCAATTTTTAGGCCGGGTCCTTTTTGCTCTGTAACCTCGTTAGTGTGAAAGGGTTCTGAACACAACACAAGGGATATTGCAGTATTGAATGTATTTTCCTGTGAGAGTCACCTCTATTTGACCAAATTTCTATCTCAGACATGTTTAGGTTGTGCATTGACGTGTATACTGTATAATAAATAATGTCTGGTGATACTGTAAAGTGATAAACTATTACTACATTCAGTGAATACATTCCAAACAATCAATACATGTATTAGACACTGTTTTCTAGGATATGAAGGTGTATTCTTTTCCTGTTGTGTACAACTGGTTACCAGTAAAGCACACAATGCAGAAAAGTTCATTATTTGAAAATAATTATTAAATTAAAAGTTGAATAAAATGTAACACTAATTTGTTAATCTTTTTTTTTTTTAATAATGTTAATTTAATCACTAGTTTATACATTTTGTTATAAAGCAGATACCAAGAGACTTATTTATTTGTATTGCCATACCAGCATCTATGGCTATTTTCATGGCAAGATCAGTATATTTTAAAAGAAACAACTAGTAGTATCACAGTAGTAATGAAAACAACAATTGAGATCAAGAAATAGTTGTTGAATGGTGATAGTAATTTTTGACATGCTACCTCTGTAGTAAGACTCCATTGATGAGAGTTCTCTGTGAGTGGTTCTGTTTCCAGTGATTTCATAAGGTCTTCAGGGAAGTCTTTGAACAGTCTACTGTCTCTAACATCTAAACAGCATTGGATAAATTAATAATATTTATACATTTATGATGACTACGACACTTATTTGAGAAATTTATACTAGCCGCACTGCAGTGGTACCATGATAAGTATGTTACATCACTGAGTACCAAGCTAATAGTCCATTTTTGTGAAAAAAAATACTGGAAGTAAGCTGACAATGTACTTGCCTTAACCATTATGTAAATATATTTGATTTTTCAGTTAAATGTTATGTAAACATGGCTTTACCGTCTGTGAAGTTCAGTGGCAAGGCGATACCACTAGTGTTGGTGTGGGACAACAGCAACGTCCCACTTGTCAGCAATGTGAACAGTTCAAATCCTAAACAGGTTCCCCATATAGGGAAATAATCACCATTTGAATTGGCCTGTTAACACACACACACACACACACACACACACACTAATTTTATGTAATACAATTGTATTAAATAAATTGGAAAAATTGGTTGGAAAATTAAATTGCACCAACAAATTGTATTGAATAAAAGGAGCACCAAACAACAAAATGCAGTGTATATGTGTGTAAAATGAAGATCATTATGACTCTTAATGATTTTTTTTTCATTGCTCAGGGGTTAAAGTTTTGCCAGACCTCTTTTATAGCTCATAAACACAAATCACAGAATTGACTATAAACCCAGTCGGACCTCTGCAGCTTCATTTAAAATAGCATTTTATTAAAAAATTTCTACAAATTGAACATTTCTATTTTACCTTACTATCAATATTTAAAGGTGCAGCTTAATGTTTAAAAAATGTACTTTGGATTTATTGTTATGCTGAATATATTTACCAAATGGACCATTAGTACATAAACCTCAAGAGCAAGTCTGTAGAAAATGCCAGCTGCTTTGGAATAGCCAGATGATTCTATACTGACTCCACCTCAAGGAAAAGGACTCTAGAGTCAGAGAAAAGGTGTCACAAATCCCTTATTGTAATCACTGCTATAATTATAAAAGACTTTACTTACCCGTTTATGGATTTGAAGAGCCTTCTGTACTCATCATTTGACTTGTTTATCCTAAAGACATTTTTAAAAATAAGTTGCTTTAGTGTTGAGCGTGCCTACAGAGTCAGTAACCGACATGTTACTGACAGTGACAGTAACTGTACGGCATGTTAAGATTAGCTTACTACAATTTTATGAAGCAAACAGTCTGGACACACTATATACTGTAAGACAGTATGCCACATTGTAAATGTAACACACTCCATGGAACTAGAAATATCATTATTTCCAGTGTTGGGAAGGTTACTTTGGAAATGTAATAGGTTACAGATTACAAGTTACCCTATTTAAAATGTAATATGTAGTGTAACTATTTAAATTACTTTATGAAAGTAATGTAACTGATTACATTTGATTACTTTTCTAAGAATTTCAACTGTTAATCATTTTCAAACATTTACACCATGCAGGGTTAACCTTACAGTAGTGCTCAACACTGTCAGACTTTCAAAATCCTTCATCACTTGAATTAAAATGATGAAATTTGAACACATCCACCACAAAATCAGACTTTAGTACCGCCTTTTACTTTGAGATTGATCTGAAGTTCAATGCAGATTAGGAAACACTGCATCTAACAATGGTTTGGAAAAAAAAT